GCTTCCAGATCTAATCCTTTAATTAAGGCTGTGGGATCCTCCTCCTGCTTTGGTGGGACAGTTTCCTCTGCCAGCTCCAAGCCTGTTATCCAGGAGGATTAGCCAGCAGAATATGGACCTTCACTGTCTCCCTTGTGTTCCCTCCTTTGCAGCACCAGGACCCAGGAGCAGACAGATCCCTTAAAGCTCCAGGCATCCAGGCATGCCTGCACTTCACACAACCTTCTCCAAGCTCATCATCTCCTAAAGATGGAAAAACAGATCCACATGGAAATAAACCAATGGGAACAACAGGAGCAGCTGTTTGAGGCCGTTGGGATGCAGCTGTGGCACTTGGGCAGCCTCAGGCATCCTAAATCCCTATTCCACCAGAAATCCTGGGATCTCCAGGAGCTATGGGATCCTCAGCACTCCCAAAATACTAGGTCAGCTGTGAGATGAGTGTGCTGGAACCAGGACATACAACACCTCCAGGACCTGATGCCACTGCCATGCTTGGGAACTCTGTGGTCCCTTTGGAAATGACCTCGTGCCAGCCAAGCTTGGCATGGGCAGAGGTGACATTTCCAGCATTCTCTTGCTATTTCTCAACTATGTGAATCTCCTGTCTGGAAGCAGCAGCATCCTGCACTCCCCTCACTTTGCTTCCAGACTTCTGGATCTCAAAATCTGTACCTGGAGAAGATCAGACATTCAAGGTAGGGAGAAAACCAGGATTCTAAGGGAGGGAGAGGATCAGACATCCAAAGCAGGGAAAACACAAGTGTTGGAGAGGAGCTGTAACCTACCCCAGCAATCCCAGCTGGAGGTCTCACCCTTGCCAGGGTACTCCTGAGGGTACCAAGGATGATGGAGCAGAGTAGGGTTCAACAGGACAAGAGGAAACAGCCTCAAGCTGTGCCAGGGGAGGTTCAGGTTGGCCATCAGGAGGAATTTCTCCATGGAAAGGGCTGTCAGGCATTGGAAGGCGATGTCCAGGGAGGTGGTGTAGTCACCATCACTGGAGATGTCCAAGAACAACTAGATGTGGCACTTAAGTAATTCTCTAGGGGGTAGGACATGTCCAGGGCTCCAAGCATCATCCAAGATGCTAGTGGTGCTGGTCTAGCTATCCAGGGAGATCCAAGGTCCCAAACTCACTTCCAGCCTCCTCTCAAGCCCCAGCAAGCCCAAGCACTTTCCTTCCCATCCCTATGGATCAACAAGTAGAGGAATATTCAACCTCAGCTAGAGGATGAAGCTAATTTGGAAATCCTCCTTCCCATCCCTATGGATCAACAAGTAGAGGAAGATCCAACCTCAACTGGGGATGAAGCCAATTTGGAAATCCTCCTTCCCATCCCTATTGATCAACAAGTAGAGGAAGATCAAGCCTCAACTGTGGGATGAATCGCATTTGGAAGCCTCAGGTTGCCTCCATGGCACATGCCTGGAACACATCACCAACAGCTTCTTCAGAGGCAGAATCACAGAATAGCCTGAGCTGGACCCACACAGATCATCAAGTCTGACTCCTGGCTCTCTAACCCAAAATTCCAGCTGTGGAAGCTGAGATTCTCTCATTCAAAATCAACGTATTCCATGGGAGCAGACACAGAAATTCCAGCCCAGAATCCTCCATCCTCCCTCCACATCCAAGCATCACATTCCTCTCCAACACTGTATGGAAATCAGCAGCTCTTGGGTTGTGTAACTCCTGATTCTGGTAGGAGGAAGGAAATTATCTGATCTGTGAATTTAAACACTGTGGAAAAATACAATCTGTGGGATTCAGAGCCTGCAAACACCAGGGAAAGAAATGGAATTGCAGCTCTTGGATCTCAGGAACCAGCACAGCTCCTCCAAGGGCATGGGCTACCTGCTCCACCTCACCCATCACCACGGTACGGGGGTGACAAGCCCCAGGGTGTTCCCCATCCATGTGCCAGGACACTGGGATGAGATCCATCCCATGGAGCATTGGATGGAGATGTTTCCACCTGAGCTCCTCCCTTACAGCCAAAGGAAAAAAAAGGCATTTTCAAAGATTTTCCTGATCCAAGTCTCATTTCTGGGCTGTTTCTTCGGGATGTTGTTCCCCTCCTTCACAGCCAGCAGCTGTCCAGGCTTTGTTCTTCCTCTTTTCCAGTGGAAAAACTCTGGATTTCATCACTAAACTCCAAAACTGGTCCCAAAACTAGAGCTGCTAACACCACAATTCCATGCCACCCTGGAGAACATCCTCACTCACACAGGTTCAAGGGCTTCTTCAGGGACACCCGAAATCCATCTTTTTCCATCAATGCCCAACAAAGGCACATTGAGGGGAGGTTTGGATGAGATATTAGGAGAAATTCCCTCATGGAAACTGGAGTTCATCCTTACCAACCTGCTGGGAAGTCACACTGAAGCCCAGGACTAATCCTGGTAGACACCAACCTCTCCAACTGCTTAAACCACCAAATCCCAAGAGGATGAAAGACTGATTCCAGGATAAATTTTGCAGGTGGGACACTGGATTTATATCCAGGTTAGGGATTTCCAGGAGGTTTTTGAACTGGAGGAGGAAAGGATACAACAGCCCAAAGTCTGTACTAAACAGCAGCTTGACTTCTCCTTCCACTTCCTTACAAAACCCTTCAACAGGGATATTTCAGAACCAGGATAACATCCCACGACGGATCTGCATCCGTGTGAACTGCCATATGGAGCTGTGGCAGGTCCCATCAGCAGGAGGTGACAGCCACCTCCACCACATCCACAACCAACTCGGGGACAAGGACACTCCGAGGCAACAACCCAACTCCATACCAGATCTTCATCCACCACCAACCCTGGGACAAGGCCCTGCCAGAGGGCAGGGAGAGATAGGATATTAGGAAGGAATTCACCCCTGGGAGGGTGGTGAGGCACCGTCACCGGTTGCCCAGAGCAGCTGTGGCTGCTCCATCCCTGGGAGTGTTCCAGGCCAGGTTGGATGGGGCTTGGAGCAACCTGGGCTGGTGGGAGGTGTCCCTGCTCATGGCAGGGGGTGGGATGGGATGAGCTTTAAGGTCCTTCCAACCCAAACCTTTCTGTGATTCCATGATTCTCTGACAGCCCC